GGAAGCATGTTTGTCATTGACTACAACTTCCATCCATGCTACAATAAGAACCAGTCAATCAAATTTGGGATCAGAAAATTTTAGAATGTGGTCTGGCTTGGTCAGGAAATTTCTACCTGGAGAATCCATCAAAAATTCCTCAAAAAAGCTTGTCACGCTGGAATTTGAAAGTTTGTTATAAAGATTAGTTTTATATGTACTCTAGGATGATGGGCTTTCTGCTGGGACTTGTGAAAAAGCTTGTTAAACTGAAAAGAAATTTTTAAAAAGGTTTTACTTTAGTACACAGAGGTACAACACAGTTTAGAAATTATTTTCAATATTTACATAAAATAAACGAAAATGTTGCACACTTAACTTGGACTGAAAAACCTATTTTTGGTCGAATATACTATATAATCTACATGCAGAAAGTATACCAAATGATTTCTGGAAGAAAAGCAATAATTTAAAATTGTGTGTTGTGATGTTAATTGTTGTAATGCGATGTTACTGTAATCAAAATTCGCGAAAATAACTTACTAGCCCCGCAGTTCCTTCCCAACGGTTGTTTGAACAACAGCGTCCCACTCATTGAAAGGAATGAAACGACGTGATGACTCGTCCAGCGATTCTGCAAAGAAAAGAAAAAAACTGTCATTTTCCACCATCATTATTCGACTCCAGCTACAATATTTTCACTTGGAAAACGAAAAGGAAGAATCGATTTGTTCCTGTTCCTGGCTGGTCAGCAAAGAAAAAAAAAACAACATTTTCTCGGCAATCTCTCCTTAACCTTCATCACTTGCATGGCTCATCATCATGCCATCTGGCTTTTCTGCCTACGGACTCAACCCTTCGATAAAATGGCTCCAAGTCGCCAGTTTCCTAATCTTCATCCCTTGCGTCTTGTTCCACTTGCAACCTTCAATGCCTTCATCAGCGTGTTGCTGTCATCATCAGCCGCAACAGCGACGATCACACGACGACTTTGTCGTTTCTCCATCATCTTCGTCGGTGAATAATAATCATGATGATGATGATCAAGACCATCACGAAGGAGTGGAACACGAGCAAGAACTGCTGGCCACTGGAGAACATCACAAAGAAAACAGCACAGAACACCCTGCGAAGCTGTGGGACGTCATCAAGTGCTTCTTGGGAATCTTCCGCCTCCTCTGGCACATCCTCACAACCGCCGTTCACAAGGACGCCGTCATCAATCATCACGGCGGCGGCAACAACAACACGACGCATCGGGAAATCTTCTCCATCGAGATCAACGTGCCGATGGGAGAAAAAGACGGACTCGGACTAGACGTTCCTCTGTACGTGCACGTGGACCTCGACTCGCTTTTCGCAACGGCGTCCCTCGGCGGCGGTGACGACGACGACGACGACGACAACAACTCTTCGTCGTCGGCGTCATCGTGGCATCGGCTCGTGTCCGTCCTAAATTCCAGCGGCGGCGACAATAACGGCTTTGTGCAGATCATTCGGTTTGTCGCAGCCATGATGGCGACACTCGTCACGTCGGGCCTGGCTCTCAAGCCCGTTGCAGACGCCGTCAGGGACGCCGTCGCCGCCCTCGAGTCCCGCAATCAGGCCACTGAGGCCCATCTCAGCGAGGCCCAGCAGAAAGAGAAGCAGCTCAAGCGGCTCGTGCGGAAGATCATCCAGGTTGGGTTCAGGTACACCGCAGTGCCTCCGGAACCGCCGCCAGATGACGCCCAACAACAACAACGACATCACGAGGAGGAGAATGCCTCTCCCAATGGCGAATGAATTTACACTTGGATAATCACCATCTCACGTATCGAGACTATCAATTGTTCCACCGTACAGTATAAAAATTTTTTTTTTTTATCCTGTGAAATTTCTCTTTGATATTGCATGGTTCTTTTTTGCTGATAGAATATGAGATTCCATCGGATTTGTTACACAATATCTGCCTAGAAATATTATTCTCATCATTAAATATTATTATCATTAAATATTATTATCATTAAATATTGTTATCATCAATAAAAGTCTAAGCTGGTTAGTTGGACCACCCGTTTATGGGACCAGCCAGTTATATGGATCAAATTGTCCAAGACAGAAACAAACCCCTCAACATAAAGGAAATTTCAGTCCCTTATTTAAACCAAAACTCTACTCCATTGGACCAAAAAAAATCACACAATCTGTGTGAATGAGCCACAACTGTGTCACAATGCTGTGACAGCATTGTGGCATAAAATTGGGGGTGTTCACTTAATGGGAATATCTACTTAATAAGACCAGAAAGTCTGTGGCCCAATGTGGTTCTATCAAGCAGCTTTGGCTTATTATTATTAAATATTACCATTGAATATTATGATTAAATATTACCATTGAATACTACAATTAAATATTACCATTGAATACTACAATTAAATATTACTATTGATTATTATTTACTTTCCTGTTATCTCTGTTCCTGATTCCTAGACCCCACTACCATCCAGGCAAATCTTTAGGACGAGTTCATAATCATGACGACCTACCAGAAACTGCAAATTTTATTTTTCTGCATTCTGCTGAAACTGATTTTGGGAGGTGGTTAGGTAAAGTTAGGTTAGGTCAGGTTATGTTAGTTACAATTATATTTCAATTAACATAACCTGACCTAACATAACTTTACCTAACCGCCTCCCAAAATCAGTTTCAGCAGAAACCCAAAGAAAGTTGAAACTGATTTTGGGAGGCGGTTAGGTGAAGTTAGGTTAGGTCAGGTTAAATTGGTCAGAGGAAAGGTACAGAGATTTCAGGAAAGTAGGTACAGAGATAAAAGGAAAGTACCGATTATTATTACAGTTTAGTTGTCATATTAATATTATACTTATTTATTCAAGCACCACAAGCACCATTTTCTTACAACTGAGAGGAAAAAAGGGGTTGGCATTGCAAGTGTGTATAGATTTTTCAAAAAGTTTTGAACGTTTAGGTGCGCATTAAACTTGATTATAGTGGAAACTTTTGGACCAATTTTAAAAGAAAATCTTATTTCCAATGGAAACAATTGAAAATCAGTTGAACTCAAGCTCAACACATGCATAAATTCAAAGTTGAGCGTCCTCTTTATCGAGATATTGTAGTTTCTGAGTCACTAACAATGGGTTAAAAATTACCTCATGCCTCACTAATATAAATGTATATACATTACATAGGATGGACCAAGAAGAATCCCAATTTTTCAAGCCATCTCACCAGATAATTTCGGGAAATCGCCTCTCAAGAAGGCTTGTGAGCAACATAAAAACAACTGAGGCTTCCGAAAATACCAACCAGAATCTTGTGCACAGAGTTTCATGGAAATGACTCACCTGGAAGAGCAAGCACTGATCCAGGATCCACAGTTTCATTGCCACTCAAAAGTGTGGCCCACGAGCCAGGAACAATGAGAGTCGATAACGAAAAGCCCCACCAGAACGCCGACACGTGCGAACAATACTTATTCATTGCCACATGGGCTTTCCACTAGCATCCACCTGTTTTTTTCTTCTCGCGATTTCACTTTTTTTGGTAACTTTTAATGAAAAATAATAATAAAAATGATGCATCACAAAAACCGAGTTCGACTCGTGCATAAGAATGCAACACGGTATCCTTTCCGGACCAAGAACCAGTCAGATAAACTTTTCTCCCATTGGTTCAACAAGAAAAAAATACTTATCCACGCTTTCGCAGTATTAAAAAAAAAAGGCACTTCACAAGGTTGAAGATCAGTCTCTTCGTAGCTCCGGAGTGATTCCGCGCATCCGTTTACGCAATGTCTGGTCCGCAAGGGCATACTCATATTGCACAGAAAAAAAATACGCCAAAACGTTTCCTCAAAATAACGGCTTCTTGCAGCAGGAAACACGATAAAGCCAACAATTGAGGGAAGAATCACAGGAAGACCCTGAACACGTCATCTGGAATGGAATAGACAATGACGACTCCAGGTTTGCGCTCTTGTTTCACGTCCACAAACTTGGACAGCACGTCAGAGAGAACCTTCCTGAATCGTTGATGCCTGCATATAAAAAAAATTTGCATCATGATCAAGAGAATTCATTTGGAGTACAGTATAAATCCCATGGGAATATAATTCTTTCGTCTTCTCGATGAGCTTAATTGAATACTTGGCAAACAATATTCAGAGAATTTTGCACTCTTGACATTTTTATGCTATAGCATGTTAACCTGCATTGCAATTGTTCTCAGGAGGCCTTGCGTCAGTTTAGCAATGCTTCTATAATATTTACTTTATTGATTTGACTAGAAAAGATCTGCCACAAAATATATCGTTGCGTATTTTTATTCAAGTGTGTTATTCCTTACCCAGTTTAAGAAAACAATCACTGCACTGATTAAATAGGCATTTCATTCAAATTGAGATTTTTTTTTCTCTGAAAAATTACAAAAACGTTGATTTATACACATTTCTCACAATGACGTTGGTAAGAGGTACAAATTCTCGAAATTCATTGTAGGAAAGATCGATACATAGAACTTTTTTCCTCATTTTTTTGGTGCACATATACAACTTCAAAAAAAAGAGAAATCGTATCCAGAAGACTCGGAACATAAAAGAAAAAAAAATACCTGTCTGCCACATTATGGAATGCAAGCCGAATTTCTGAGAGCAGGCGACTCGTCTTGTAAGGGTTGACGCAGTGTTCGCACAGATTTTGTAGAAAAGCGTGCAGGTCCGGGTTCGTCACGTGCAAGAAATAGGCGCCTAAGTCGAAGAGGTCGTGTCTACGGATTTTCGCCGAAATCTGCAGCAAAATATCCGTCAGCAAAATATTGAGCAATGAAATCATCATCGACTGCATATGAATGGTCGCAGATTCCAGCCAAGTCAAATAAACTAATTAATTCAAGTCCTCTAACGAATTTAGCGCATTTTGTCGAATATAGGAACCTCATCATCATACAAATGTACATCAATGACTTGCTAATTTTTCCCTCATCCAAAATCCTTAAATCTAATTCTAAAAAAAAACACATGACTAGAAGAAACTCATGGGAAAAAGTGTGTTCGTTTTCTTCTTCTTCTCCTCCTCACGCACATGATTTTCAGCCACCTTCTTCACAAAGGTCTTCGGCTTCTTGTCGCCAAAGATGAAGTGAATCGAGAGGTTTGAGCCAGCGTGGCTCCTTTCAGACAAGGACGGATTATTCCCACCGTCTCCGACGCGGGACATGCTTTCAGACCGGCCCTTGGAGCCAAAGCTGGTCCCTTCGCTGGTGCCCACGTTACCGCTCGTGATACCACAGACTCTCGTCCGCTGAGCAGAACATTCCCAACTGCGTCACAAGCGTGTCTAAAACATCTTTTCGCACGTCCAGGCCCAAGCAGTGCACGTTCTTTATCCGCGGATTCAGCTTCTCCAGCACAGATGCAATTTTCGCCGAAATCTGCACGAGCCGTCAGCAAAATATTGAGCAATGAAATCATCATCGACTGCATATGAATGGTCGCAGATTCCGGCGAAGTCCATTAAAGTTATTAATTCAAGTCCTCTCACGAATTTAGCGCATTTTGTCGAATATAGGAACCTCATCATGATACAAATGTACATCAATGACTTGCTAATTTTTCCCTCCGCCAAAATACTTGAATCTCATTTAAAAAAATATACACATGACTAGAAGCAACTCATGAAAAAAATGTGTTCGTTTTCTTCTTCTTCTTCTCCTCACGCACATGATTTTCAGCCACCTTCTTCACAAAGGTCTTCGGCTTCTTGTCGCCAAAGATGAAGTGAATCGAGAGGTTTGAGCCGGCGTGGCTCCTTTCAGACAAGGACGGATTATTCCCACCGTCTCCGACGCGGGACATGCTTTCAGACCGGCCCTTGGAGCCAAAGCTGGTCCCTTCGCTGGTGCCCACGTTACCGCTCGTGATACCACTCACTCCTCCTCCTCCTCCCGCTGAAATCCCAGGTCCTATAGACACTGAGCTCGGAAAAGAGGACGACGCCACAGCGTACGGATATGACGAGTCTCCACCGCCGGCAGTTGAAGGACCACCGCTTGTTCCTCCTCCTCCGCCTCCGCCGCCGCCTCCCACTCCTGAGGCGCCTCCACTCATTTGATTCCAGCTGTACAAGGCTTCGTTGACTGCGTCGTAGATTGATTTGGGCTCTTGGACACGTTTCTCAACGTACCTAGAGGAGGAAAACATCATTTGGACAGGAAATTCGCGAGTATTTTGAATTTTTGATGTCAATTACAAGGACCGTCTCAATTTCCGCCAATTTCAACTCTACACGGGGTTATAATAAAAATTCTGGAGATAGACACTGACATGGCACACGATTGAACTGAGAACCAGTTTTAGTTCACGAAAAACATTCTTTGGCACCAGGAAGCAAAAATTCAGCCCTGTTCGACACATTTTTTTTTTTGTGATTTTGTTTGTTTGTTGCTAAAGTCACCTTTGGCAGCTTTCTGATCTTCCCATAAAACACGAGGAGCCAATCTCGCAGATTTTTCGGTGTGGCACAGGTTCTCTTTCAGAAGTTTTGAAATCGACACGGCAATAATTTCAAAGGTAACCTCCAGGTCTTCCAAGTCATTTCCATCAACAGCCGCCACATTCTCATACCAAGTGGCGGCTGTTGAAGAAAGTGGGGAATTAATAATTAATCAAATAATTGCGACAACCCTTATTGGAATTAATGACACGTCAATTTCAAGAACTCTGCATGAAGGAGGAGCTGGGCTTCACCAAAAAATCATCTGCGAAACGCGATCCTCATCCTTTCCGAGTGAAGATCAGAAAGCTGCGAGAGTGAAATTACAAATGATACTGTATGTCAAACAGGGCTGAATTTCTTTTCTGGTGCCGAAGAATTCCAATAAATTCCAAGAATTGCATCCAGGTCTTACAAGGTAATTCCGTCATTTTCATCAACAGCCGCCACATTCGCATCCCAAGTGGCGGCTATCAAAGAGAAGTGGCGGAATGTATAATCGATTAATTGCGAAAACCCTTGGAATTAACTTTCATTACGTAGATATAATTTTTTATTTGCCTTTATTATTTTCCACGAGTGAATCGGAATATTCAAATAAAAGATAAAACCTCTCGTCCAGCAGCACTCACTTGCGGCCGTTGTTCACGCGAAGAGCAGGCTCCTCGTTTCTCTTGAGAACCAACAGACAAGGGACGCCACGTTCCAAACACGCCTGTTGCAGCGCTTCCAAATCCTTTCCCCACCCCCAAGAGAAATCCAACAGCATTACAGAAATTGCACACATACACAAGAACAAACACATTTTCGTTCTAAAATAAGTTGTCAAAAAAATCAAGTTGCTTAGTCACTTTAGTCACGTCGTAATGAATGTCCACGCGGGTCCCTTGGGCCCAGAGCCCACAGGCAACCTCGAGCATTTTCCGCGGCAGGCCGTCGTCGTCCGAGGATCGGTTCGGCTGACTACCACTACTGCTGCTGATGCTGCTACCTCCAACCGCGCAGATCACGGCGTCCACACCAGCGGGCGCCACGCGCGGCGCCAGTGCCGGAAGCGGTCCAGCCATCGACAACAACTTGTCCACTGAAATACTGACGCCAACGCCATCCGGGACGGGCTCCACAATGGGTCCCTTGAGCGGCTCAAACGCCAATCTGGGAATTATTCAACAAACAAACAAATTTTCAAATACCGTACGTAATAATTCTTGCTTCCTTTCTCAAAGAAATGAGAAATCTTCGCAGTTGAATTTAGAAATTATTCACTCTGTATACAAACATTTCCTCCACAGTTTTTCATCTTAGTTCCCGGACATTTACGCATGACAGCAGATAATGCCAGCAACGGTAGCACTAAGCATTTTATTACTAACCTCCTATCATCGCTTTTTCTCGGAGATAATACATATCAATACAAATCAAAACAGAATAATAAACATGCCAAGGCTCTTTAAAAGTCACTGTGCATGAAAAGGACAAATTTTTTTTTTTTCGTCTAGGAACGTACGCGGAAAATTGTTCAACATTCGAATATGCCGAGAAAAATGACAAGAATTTCCTCTGCTAATTTATGAAAATCTCATATAACTTCACAACAGCTCACTGAAAAATTGGAAAATAACACGCACACAGATTTTAAAAGGAAAAAAAAGGGTCTTCATTCGGCATATTCCCACGTTTCTTATAGTGACAATAAAAATTAATAATCGCAGACTTTAAATAAAAAACAGTAATAAAATTATGTTTAGCCTTTCAAACCCCCTTGCCTCTAGAAAAGTTTTTGCTCATGTTCAAAAACGCACCTCATTCGGTGAATGAGCGCAGTGTAACGTCCACCAGCCGCCACGATGCTCCAGGCTGGCTGCCCGGCTGCTGCCTTGGCCTTGGGCCCCTTTCCAGACCCGGGCCACGACTGACACAAAAACTGGAACATGACGCCGGAAAAGTCCTGTCGCCGTTGCAACATCGACGGCATCACCGTCACAGGAAACTATTAATCGAACGAAACAAAAAGACCAAGACCGTCACGATTTTAGTCCCAACCAAAAAAAAATCAAGAAAGAAGCCTTTACTTTCACTCCCATGGCCTCGGCATAAGAAACGACGGTTTTAATGCTGGAAAGGGCCAGTTTGGCCAGCTTGAGGGCGTCCTTGTTATTTCCGAATGACTTGAGCAGGACGTCGAGTCGATGGGGCTCCACGGGTCTGAGCATGTTGCACACGCTCTCGGCCGTCGAGTCACTCAGCCCAATATTCGTCAACGCCTCCACCAACGTCTGTTATTCAACGAAGACAACAACAAAAGTCGATTCCAAATTGTTCAATTTTTTTTCCTAACATCGTGCGTCAAATTTTGATTAAAAAACACCCAATTCAAAACATGTAGCTTTCCCAGCACCGTGCATTTTCTCTAATAAACGCTCCTGATGTTTATTTAAGATAGGGAACATTTTTCCTGGCTTTTAAACAGAGACCAGCGCTTATTTTCAACATTTGAGACTATCCACCAAGAGAATAAGAGAAAAAAGAAAAGAAAAACGCAGGTGAAAAATGAAACAAGCTTTCTGATAGCAACATTTTTTTTTGGAAAATGAGACAGGAATGCTTGAAAGCATTGCAATTAGGTTTCAACAGTTAATTACATGCAAGGATACATTAAATGCTTCATTGGTTCCCAACTTGATTTTTGCAAAAAAGCAGAAACTTTTTAAATGCCTGCCATAAAGTCTTTCAAGCAACACTTTTTGAGTCAGCAAAAATTTTATGAAAAATTGCCAGTCTGCCAAAAATTTGATATAAATTTCCCGGTCCCCATCAGGCCCAAAAAGGTTGGAGAACACTGATGTAAATTATATTTTGGATTGAGAAAATTCCATCAGAATTTTTTTCAATTTCGAGACCAGCTATTTTTATGAAACCTGGCCTCCGTTGGAGACTAGGCATTGATTACTGAAAAACACGGTGCTGTACATGTACAGTACCCGTCTGGACGCGTTCCGCATGTTTTCTACGAGTGCCAAGATGTCCTCGTGCTTGCCGTCACGCACACCATGCTTTACAAGGACAGCCAGGGTGAGGGCCGCGTGATTCACGTGGATGGCCCACCGTCTCGGCGAGGGCGACTCCAGCGGGTCGCGGTGCAGCGCGCTCAGGGCCTGCCAAGTGGCAAACACAACCTCCGCATCGGCCAACAAGCCGCAACCTGCAGTTGGTCATACACAGAAACACACATACAATACATACATACATACATACATGTACACAATGCTCAAGAGGAGATGTTCAGCGCTACTGCTTCTCATGACACGAACGAACTCGGTTCCTGACTTCACACCAAATTTTTTTCTTCTTCTTTTTTTTTTAGCACAGATGAACTTTGATTACTCAAACTCTCTCAGTCGGATATTTCAAGTCCCTGCTTGAAATAACTTGGAAACAATGCATTGAAATCATCCCTAAATCGAAGTCCTCCTCGACAACAACTTCAATGCTCGAATTTTCTCGAGGCCTTTTGGCTATTATTTTATTGAAAAACTTGATGCGTTTTGAAAGAAAGTGAATAAAATAATTGGGTAAATGAGAACTTGCTCCTGTCAACTCATTCAAGAAGCAATTCAAGGCCCAGAATATCAGCAATGAAAACTTCCTAACATTCTTCTTTTCTTCCCCTCCCGAAAAAAATAACGCTCGGTACTCGAATTTTTCTTTTGGCTAATCCCTAGAAGTTCGACGGGGATCAGAATGAAAAATTTCAAAAAAGGTTGACGTCAAATACGAGCGAAAACACGTGTAAAACACGGATACAATCCTCAGCACAATCAAAAGGCATGACATTCAGCAGCAACTTAGACGTTCTTGAGAGGTAAATCACTAAGCATGCAACTGATTATCATTTGAGGCAAAAATTGGTGCTCTTCCAGAGCCCATCGTGAAAAAAAAAAAAAGGCACTTGATTTTTTTTTCTGTATTATGCACACAGAAAAAAACCGTGTGCATAATACAGAAAATTTTGCACAAACCAGATGTTCGCAAACAACAAGACAAACAAATTTAAAATGTGGGCGTTTTCCACGACGTACCCGGCGGAGACACGATGTCAAAGTCACACTCTTCCAGCTCCCTGGGATGCACCCCAAACACCTTCTGCTTGCGATACACCTTGCCCAGCACGTAGCGCTTCAGCCGCGTCATGTCGTGGCGCACAACGTGGCGTACAAACGGCGTCCGCAAGTCGTGCGGCAACTCGACAAGGACGCCGGCCCGGTCCATCATGGTCACGACCGAGGAAGACGAGGACGTCGCCGCCGCCGTCGTCGTCGTCGTCGTCGTCGTCGTCGAGTCCATGCGCGGCGCCAAGAGCATGGCGCCCAACGACGACGCCCCGTGCAGACGAAACGTGCTCACGAGGACGTCGCGGATCCAGTCGCGAACAGCGAGTTCCTGTTGCATCACGGCACTCGACGACAAGGCCGTCGTTGTTGCTGACGCTGTCGAGCTTCCGCGTCGCCTCATCGTCGCGTCCTCCAGCTCGAACGTCACGGCCGTGGTCCTCGCAGTAGTGTTCATTTCCTGAAAAGAAAAATAACAGTTTTGTTATTGATCCGCCTAAACACAACAAAATATAAAGCTTATCTACTCAAACGTAACTAAAATGATTCTCATGACAGAACTAAACTAACTCACTGTTGACTAAACTTAGCAAACTGACCATAAACAAAACTGAGCCAACTGACATTCAAGAATTCAACTAAACTATTATATGCTCAAATAAACTGACCGAACCCAATCTGAGTTCCCTTCCACTAAACTAAAACCGACCTTACTTGACTTGACACACATCAACCTTACTTGTTTTAATTTTCACTAACCTCACGACTTGACTTACACTAAGCTTACTTGACTTGACTTACACTAAGCTTACTTGACTTGACTTACACTAAGCTTACTTGACTTGACTTACACTAACTTGATGTGACTTGACTTACACTACCTTGACTTTACTTACACTTACTTGACTTGACTTACACTGAGACTGACTTTACCTTACTTGACTTGACTTACACTGACACAGACCTTACCTTACTTGACTTGACTTACACTATTCTTACTTGACTTCCAGTATCCTGACTAGACTTACACAATTATAACGGAACCCGTACCAACGAAATTAGTTACTGAGCCAGATGAAACTCAAACCAGCGCAATGTAAACCAAGTCAGCCGTGACCTGAGTTGGACATAACGAAAATCCAACTGGATTTAATCATCACACCTGATGGAAGCAAAGTGTGACAATATCCTTGAAAGCAGTCGACGTTGGATCGTTGAGAGCACTTGCAACCATTTCTCTGAGTCTCGCTTCTTCCACCTGCGGCGGTGGCAAAAGGTTCGACTTCAACAGCTCGCTCGAAGACGGCCGCTCACTTGGACAATGGCTCAGTAGCCTCCTACAAAAAAAAAAAAGGGGGATCAAGAAAATTACGCGCTAGCTATTTGATCAATGAAAATAAAATTGTTTCGAGTATATTATTCACACTGGTTGCAGACGGGACATCAATTCGGCAAAACCTTCGGCAACTAATTCTTCATTACAGCATTTAAGAAAAACCCAGCCAAAATTGATAGTTTCCCCCGTTTCTGAGGATATTACCACCTTCAAGAATCACGAAAAACATACTACCAAGTTTATCTCTTTTTTTTTATATAAAAGCTTCAAGTCACTAGTTCTGTGCTCACTGGGATTTCTAGAAAATGGCACATGTTTTTCCTCACCTTAAAAAGCGACGGTGTTGAACAATAAACAATGGAAAAATATTCTTCGTTTAGGAATTATCTCACAAACCCCATAGACAAGTACGATGGTTGGTTTATCAGTTCTGAGACATTTTGAAATATATTCAACGTAGTTTTGAAAAAATTACAAAATAAACTTCAATCCGCATAGCCCCATTGTTTGGCAACACTTCAGTGCTGTTCAACTTACTTTTCGCCGATTTCAATGCATTTCTTCATGCGATCAATCCAACGATTGAAACAGTGAACTCGATTTTCGGCACTGTTTTGATTTTTGAATTTATTGCATGAAGGAAAGTATATTGAACAGTATCGAAGTGTTGCCAAATGATGGATCTATGCGAGTACGAATTTTTTTTTTCAATTGTTGGAAGTCCGTTGGATCTATTTCAGAAAGTCTCAAAACTTATGCACCCACCCTCACATACTACAGTACTTGTGACTGATGTTCATGTAGCACCGGTTATTCGGATGCATTACAAGAAGTCCGTCAACAAATTTTTTTCTTTCCTTCTTCTTCTCACCGAATGAGAACTATTGGCGACGGCGACACGACACTCGGAAACTGGAACCAATCCGGCAAAATAATGCGTTCGTTGCGAAGGTCCGTGAGGATCTTGGCCCTCTCCGCTTGCGTCGTCGGCGGCGGGGAACACATCTCGAAAAACATGATCCCGAGGCTATAGATGTCCACTTTCTGTCGAAGACGCGTCAAAAGCAAGCAATCAGTTCATTTCCGGATGCCCACTATATTTCCGTTTTTCTCTCTCTTTTTATTTATGTTTTTCTTACCTGGTCATAACCGGAACCTCCCGCGCGACGACCGACTCCGCCGGCCACTTCCGGCGCCACGTAAAAGTGGGTGCCGATGTGCATGGTCATGTCATTGTTATTGCTACCGTTCTCGCTGGATCCCTCGGGATTGGGCGTCACGACTTGAGCCAGACGGGGTGGCAATTCTGCACCTGATCTGATGAAAATGTATAATATACGTGTTAAAAGGACAAAACAGCTTCCATCTAATTTCTGACGGCCAAAGCAACAGACTGACGTTTTTGCTTCGAATGCACAGGTGTCGCCCGAAACTCGAACCAACCTTGTCTGACACATTCTAAGGTCACGAATATGCCAAAATCTGCACATTGACCAGATCTGGCCTAAAGAGACTCTTCAGACATCCCACAGTCCCTTCCATTCAATTCTCAAGGTGGCAGATGCCACTGAAGTAAAATCTCATTAGATCAAAGCCATTGAGTCCACTGAAATAGTTCTGCTGTCAGAAAAACTCAGAATATGGTAACTCATGTAGCATAGCAGCTATTTGGCAGGGACCAAAAAACCTTTTTGTCTTAATTAATTGAAATTATTTTTCATAACGAGATTCTACTTTATTAAAAGTATAAACTGGTATTTAACGATTGTTAAAAAAACCCAAAATGTTGCTTTATCTAAAAAAAAATATCTAAAGCTATGCTTGTGATTCAATGCATGGCAATAAATTAAATTTGAACATTTTTTTTCAAAAGGGGGACATTTCGAACCTCAAAAATCATTGTCTAGCGTGGCCTGCAAGAATTCTCCCACCTCTTCCATGGAGCCCTTGGCCAGAAACAATGTGGCTTATGGACCACATCTGCGTTGGGCAACAGCCCATTTTTTTGTAGAAAATAAATGAGATACGTCGGTACACGCGGGGATCCGTTACTCACTCGGCGACAGCATTGACAGTGGCAAGGCCAAAGTCACCAATCTTGACATTATCACGGTGATCGAGAAACACGTTGATGGGCTTCAGATCCCTGTGGATCATCCCTTGTTGATGGATGTGGTCCAGACCGAGTACAACTTGTCGAAACAGCCGCCAAACTCGCTGCATGTCCAAGTACAGTCCACCATCGATCGCGTGTCTTCAAAATTACGAAATAAAAACTTCCAAACGAGAAATAAAAACGAAAAATAATTATACTGAACCTGAGCGTGTTTTTGTCGCAGAATTCCATCTGGATGTACAGGTATTGCTCCAAGCAAGGACCTGGTCCTCGTGGTTTCTTCCAGGTCCCATTGACACAGTCTTCTTTGCCGTTTTCCTTGTGGTTCTTCTCGTTGTTGTTGTTGTGGTTGGCGTCTTCGGCCTCGAACACGACTCCGCCGTCCGAAGTGGATGAGTCCTCGTCCTTCTCGACTCTGAATGAGAGGATAATTTCCGTTGTGCAATCAATTTTTAAAAGGCTTACATCTCAGAGAAGAAAATAGGCAGAATGAAACTTGGATACTGCAAAAGCAAAATGCAATTAGTAAATTATCCCTCAATCTGTCGTAGAAAGTATTCTTTTAAATCCCTGAGTTTGATCACGTTTTCGTTCGTTTCTTTCTTACCTTTTTTTTCTTTCATCTCAAACAACTCGGAAAAACCACACTTTGAAAAACCTTTACAAGAAGGTTCGTTTCTATAAGTATTGATTTGACTAAAATATGCCGACGCAAGAATACAACAATCCTGGTATTCATAAATCAAACGTACCCAAGCAAAGAACGACTTGTTCCAAAACCGAAGTCTTCATCGTTGCCTTCGACGTCATCTTCTTCATCATCATCATCTTCATCTTCGTCTTCGTCATCGTCCTCTTCTTCTACACTTTCTTCACTGTGGTTATCGGACATGAATGACTCGCTTTCCTCACTCGCATCCTTCTGCCAAAAAAAATGAGGCATGACAACAAGAGTTTAGGTTGCTTTTTTTTTCACGGAGATCGTCCTCATGGATAACAAACCTTTGATTTGGTAGAAGACGATGCTAAGCTGGAAGCTGATGTTTCTTCGTCGGTCTGGATCTCCTCTCGCGAACGAGGCTTTCGTTCCACGTACGTCTCTTCGATCCATGAATTGTAGTACCTTTGCGATCGATAATGGAATTAATCAACCATCGCAAATGAACGAAGAATTATGTTAAATTTCAATAAAACCCCAAGCCTTTTTCAAATGCTTAAAAACTTGAATAGGCCCTTCAACTTGGGGAAAATCACCTCACGACATTCTCGTGGTTGAGTTTAGACAACAGCTCCACTTCTTTCCTCACTTTCCGGTTCAGGTGTTTGCTCTTCGTGTTCAGCTTTATGATCTTGATGGCATACAGGTTCCCGTCGATTTTATTCCTCGCCTGAGAGTAGGTGGAAAAAAAAATTTAAAACGAAACCTCGCCTTCGACAAAAGAATTTCCCAGTCCTTACTTTGATGACCTGACCAAAGCCGCCGGATCCGATGCCGCCAAGGACTTGGAAATCATTTTGAAGTCGGGGATCCGTCGCCCCTCCGACGGGCAACGCACCAGAGACGCCCTTTTGAACGTCTTTATCGTCTCGCTCCGGCTTCAAAACTGAATCCTGCGTTCAAAGCAATTTAGTTTTTATATTTTTTTCAGGTTTCAATCACGATTACGAGAAAAACAGTGGTGCTTGGACATGTGTTGGAACATCCGCATGTCGGATCAGACTTCAATGGGAATATATTTAATTGGTTCTCCTGCTAATCAAAAATTAGGAAGAAGTCCCCCAAAAATGAAAAAAAAAAAAATTTTCCTCAGCTTCACTCAGGCACAATACAGAAAATAACGGTGCAGAAGAAAACCGAACATAATCTGATAATTTGGCATGAAAAGGAGCGAAAAAGGCGAAGAACAAGCACAAGTTTTTCTCAACTGTGCACAGATGATGGGAAAAACTCCAGAAAGAAGCAAAAAAACCAGCCTGTTTTGGATTCTGCATTAGAGTAAAAAATTAATTTTGAAGTTTTAAAATTTCAATAGCTCGATTTAAAAAATTGCATTCTTCCATTTTTTTTAAGAAAGGTAGGCAAAATGTCCGCATCCTGAGATATTGGACATAACTTTTTGTTTCGAGTGTCCGTAAGTCGAATTGTGTGCGTATTTCAAAGCCCCACTTGGCAACAGTTTCAAAACTGCCGTCCTCTGAGACAAGACGTGCAACTTTTTCAACAACACTTCGTTAACTTCTTCAAGAAAAAAGAAACAAAAAAAAAGTATGCCATTGTCAGTTGTCAGCACTCACTCCTGCTCTGCTGACAAGTGACACGAGCGACGGCAACGCAGACGGTGACTTGAGAAATGGGTGTTCCAGCAGCTCCGAAGCAGTCCACCTACTCTTCTCGTCCTTCTTCATGCACCTGCAAAATAAAACAAACATCAATCAACGGGAGTCTCTCTTTTTTTTCTTTTCTTCTTCTCTCAAAATTCCTAATTCGTCTCACATGTCGAGGAAATGACGGAAATCGGGGTTGAGGTCCTCTGGAAACGCCGGAAAAGTGGCCGAAACGATGCGACCCATTCTCAGCGACAAGAGAACCACTCCGACGCGATGAACATCCGCCTTTTTCCCACTGCGCCCCTGTATGCCGCCTATGGCAGCTGCCTGCGGCAGTTTGTTGTAGTGGGGTCATGGGCAGGTTCAGGTCCGCGCACTGTGTCGTCGGCTGTGCAACAACAGCAGCAGCAACATCATCGTCAGTAGCGGCGCGCCGCCGCCACCACCACCACCACCTGCGCCGTTGTCGTCGTCCCCTCCTCCGTTTTCAACGTCCAGCATCGGCTTCGTCAAGGCGGCGACGCATTCTTCCAGCAGCTCGTGCACGCGGTGCGTCACTACAAAGCCGCTGAGACGCACCTGGCCACGACGGTCCACGTGGATGTGCGTGTCGCGCAGGTTTCGATGCACCACGTTGTTCTCGTGCAAGTAGGCCAGGGCTTCCAGGACGCCGACGGCGTATTGGCGGAGTTGGGCGTAGTCGGCGGGCCAGTGCTGCGATATGTGCCACGCCGCCGTGGTTCCAGGCACCAGGCCCTACAGGAAAAAAAAAATCATCGAGAGGATCATTTCGTGATTCTTGAGCTGAGGATTAAACTGGCTCGATGGCACAGATGCTGAAAGAATTTCGCGAGATACAAGAATTTGATTTCTTTTTCACCAGAGATTATTCTAGAACTTGACGAGAGATTGTTCCAGGATTTCCCGAGGGATTATTTTAGAATTTTATGGGATTATTTATTTGCCTCAGGAAATTCGTAGATGTTATTTTAGAATTTCACAAGAGATTTTTTTAGAATTTCACGATACAGTATTATGTTAGGGTTCAACTGAAGATTATTTCAGATTTTCAACAGATAATTCCGAGTAAAAACGTAAGAAATGGAGGAACTTCAATTGGTGTCACGAGTTTGAACAAAAGCATTTCTAATTAATCATCGGAATTTGGGGTATAAAAAAAATGGGTTTTACCTGAAAGAGGTGCTGTATCCAAGTTACACGATCTATCTTTTTCCTTTCTGAGCAAGAAGCAAATCAAGGAATTTTTCTCTATTCCTACTTCCTCATAAAGTACATTAGATATTTTCCAAGGGAATTGTAATTGCTTCTTTATTATTAGCTTTTGAAAATCGGTCCAAAATTTTCGGTATATTCTGAGGAATTTCTAAAATAACTCGAAATTGGAATTCCAACTCCTGAGACACGAAAAAAAATTACAATGACGGACCTCAAAATGCAGTACGAAAATGATTAACATTCAATTTTCTCAAGACAGTACCTCAATTGTTGAGATCCGCAAAGCTTTCGTAGCCGACGACGTACTGACGAGACACACGTCAGTGCCGAGGAATGGCACAAGACGAATTGCGTCGCGAATCCGCGTCGCCTGCACCACGTCATTCTCAAAACCTCCCATCTTTGCAAATTTGAAGCATAAAAAATAAATAAAAATCAACGGGAAACACTTTCAATTCCCGAAAAAAAAATATATATATGTACCAGTCGGTGCAATTCCTTCATCGCCTGCGACTCGTCGTCCATCAACATCGACTTCCCGCACGACAAGTCCCATTGCGTCACATACGCGGGATCCCCAGTGTCCTCGTCAATGGCGATAAAGTGCGACACTCGGTATCGACGCGGGTGAATGGTGGTGTCACCGTCGAGGACGGCGTCGTCGTCGTGCGAGATGCAATGGGACCGTCGGAACCGTCGCTTGGCCTTTGTCAACTCGACGGTGGTTGTTCCGCGATGCGCCTCGTCATCACAGTCACGACCGTCTCGCCGCTGCTTTTCCTTGGGCCGGGTCCAGCCGAACGTCAGAGTATTGACAGTAGTCGTACCTGGTGTTTCACAAACAGTTGAGCCTCGATAAGTTGAATGACAATGTTCTTTTAAAGTCCCTGTCCGAATTCCCTTTGAAACAATGCATTAAAAACTTTCCTTACTTGAAGGCTTTCCCCCCTCAAACCTCCATAGCTCTAATTTTCTCGAGGCCTTCTGGTTTATTGACACAGGAAAAACAAATTCAATAAAAATTCACCTTGATTTGATTAGGAATTAAATAATATTCAAGCAAATGAATCCTCTCCTTCAAATTCAGAACTCGTCAATTCATTTGAAAAGCAATTTAAGCTCCAGAGCTTCAAAAATTAAATTTTCCAGCAATTCTTTCTTTCCATACTCCAACAGAAACGCTTGTTTCCCAAAGACAAATTTTATTTGCTGGTCCCTCGTAGTTCGACTGTGTAAAAAAAAAGTGATGGTCTATATTCACTCCATTACAGAAAGAAAGAAAAAACTCTGGAACGAAACAACAGAAAACTACGCTGGGAAACGCTCCTGTATGAGTTAGACTCAAAGATGATTGATTTTCCTGCGATGTATTTGACAATACAAAAGTAAAGATTTGAGCAGCGAGAAGTTTTCAATATCATTGCTGTTTTCCGAAGGCAGCGACATCTTCGCAAACTTAAGAAGGCCATGTGCCCGACATTGTTATCTATAAAGTGGGACAGATGTCGCCCGAATTCCGGACTTCGTCAAAAGATAGGTTGACCAAATGGTCGATTTTGGTCGTAAATTAAGCTAACCCACCGTGACAATTCTCAATTAATAATTACATCAAAAGGAAGAGAACCTCCCACTCAGCTAAATGTTTTGCCTAACCTGTAGTCTTTTCTCGAAGCCAACCGTTTGCTGGACTTTCCACAGCTGCAATTTCTTCCCGATTCACCAGAGAACTACGTCGCAACGCCTCTTCTTTCCGGGCTTGTTCTTCCAGAGTCACTTGTCTCTACAGTATTCCCAAAATATGAAAATAATTAAAGAGACAGATTCGGAACTGAACCAAGTATTTCTTCTTGTTAAAATCACTTCCAATTCATTCATCACCAGTAGAAAATTATGCAAATTCCTTCACGAGAAACTCGTTTATTCAGGCTTGACACTCTAACCAACAATTTCCAAGCGTTCACGAAATTAAAAATAGCTTCAAGATTACTCGGTTCATTTCAATTGATGAGTTCATTGTTCAACCTCACTTTATAGAATTGCAGCTAGTTGGCATCTGGAAAGATAGCCTCGAAGAAGGTCCCTCTAACAAACACTACCATAATCGACTAGCTTGGACTAGAAAATTTCGAACGACATCTACACAATAACTCAAGAAACCCCGGATTCAGGGACAGAAAAGAAATTCAATGAACCTCATCCAACAGCCTTTGACGTTGAAATCGTTTCCGTCAGCTTACAGGGGAATTCAAAAACTGCTGATGAATAACGTAATCTCTCACCCAAGAGCCAGAAAAATGTAAATTAAAAAAAATGAAAAAATAATTTCATACAACAAACACCAACCTCAATTTCCTTCGACTGTTTCTCCCGGTCCTGTTCACACTTGGTCCTCGCTTCTTCTTCCTTCGCCTTCTGGGCCATCATGGCATCGTAGAACGAACCCGACGGAGCTTTGTTGTTTTCTGCCAGAAATTCCTTCAAGTTGCGCATTTTTTTTTTAAAGACCTTCAGCACAGAATTAAGTCATTCAATTCCTCTCACCATCACAACCTGGGCGAGGTCGTATATCATCACTTTGCCCTTGAGCTTCGTCACAGCATCGATCAACGAACATAATAATTCGTCCACTTTCTGATTCGATAGTCCCTTTGAATCCTCTATCGATACTTGAGGGGACCTTGAAGTAAGAAAAAAGAGACACAGAAACGCAAATATTTTAAAATTCCACTATATCCTCGATTATTCACCCATTTCCCCCCGAAACTATATACTGTACAGTACTTAACAACCAACTCACAGAATTTTTTTCGGTAAAATCGGAGCTGATAAACTGTTCGCATTGTACTGAAAAATGAAAAAAATTTCGGCGTTATTAAAAAATGAATTCAAAACTAATTTTCAATAAGGGCCCAGAATACAATTTGAATTTTGCAGGTGAGTGATTAGTTCCAGAAATTCTGCAGGGATTATATGCGCAAGAATTTATCGCACCTTACTTCGAATCTGTAAACACTGCCCTAATCATGTTACAGACCCAGAGAAACAGAAACAAAATAAACACATGAAACATTCAAAACCTGTCTAACTTTTTTCGGGAAAATGAATAATCAATATACCGTATATGCATACATAAATTTAAGAGGGTCTAAAAAATGTTTTCGGAATAGAAATTGAAACGGCATACGACTGAGCTGAAAAAATTAATCTTTCTTCGGCACAATGAGAAAATAAATGGCAGCTCTGTTTGACGCATTCTTCAGAAAATGTTTGCGAAAGTTACTCTGGCAGCTTCCTCCTCTTCAGTCAAAAGATGAGGCGCCCATTTCGCACATTTTTTGGTATAACCCGGCTTTCCTCTCAGAATTCTTGAAATTGAATTGGCATTAATTCCGAGGGTTGCCGCTATTAACTGATCAATAATTCCGCCATTTTTTTTAGCAACAGCCGCCAATCAGGGTGGGAATGTGGCGGCTGTTGATGAAAATGGTGGAATTACCTCGGAAGAAGCCCTTGGAATTAATGCCATGTCGATTTCAAGAATTCTGAAGGAGAAGCTGGGTTATGCCAAAAAATCTGCGAGATCAACGCCTTGTGTTTTGCGTGAACAGCAGAAAGCTGCAAGGGAGACTTTTGCAACAACAACAAATTACGAAAAAATAATTAAATCAAACAGGGCTGAATTTTTGTTTTCTAGTTCCAAATAATTTTCAGTTTGTTGAAAAATATTTGGTTTTCAGCTTTCAACTTCTATCCCGAGAACTTTTGTTAGACCCCTTGCAAATGCACTGTACATAGACACCAGGAAATTTATAAAAAAAAGACGTACTCGCCAGGATATTTGACGTCGCAAAAAGAAAAGGCTAACAGGGCTGCAATTTTGTTTTCTTGTGCCACAGAATTTTTCGGTTGGTAGAAAAATACTCGTTTTTTTCAGCTTACAATGCATATCCCAGAACTTTCCTTACACCCATCGTATTAATACAGTGAGACCCCCAGATGCGGACATAATTGGTGCATCAAGAGTGTCCCTAAGTTGAGTCTATAGACTTACATAGTTACACTATAGAATTTTTCATTGGTGTTCTATGGAAGAAATATTCTTCAGAATTCCATGAAAAAAGGTTTTTGCCTCTTGAATTTTATTTAGAGAATTTTTCAACCTGATAAGAACATTTGGAGCATTGAATATTATTCCACTGTACAGTTCATTGAATTGTTGGCATGTGTAAAAATGACATCCAAGTCACAAAAAGAGAAGGAAGTCCTTCTTTGCTACTGGTAATTTTTTTAATTAGCTGAATTGATGGGAAAGTGATAGGAAAAGTACCAAAGAATTTTTCTTAAAAAATAGGGATTCTTAGGGTTGGAAATATCTGTTTCTTGCAATTAAGCTGTAATAAAAGTGAATTTTCCTAAAATTGTAATCGGCAATTTTAACGTGGAATGTCCTCATATCGAGCCAGTGTCCCTATGTCAGGCCATTTTAATGATTTTTTTTATTGAAAAATAAATGTCCCTATGTCAGATTGTACCCATGTCAAAGTGTCCACATGTGGGGGTCTCACTGTACTGTATACAGACACCAGGTAAATTTTCAAAAAAAAAACGTACTCGCCAGGATATTTGACGCCGCAGCGGACTCGCAACGTCGCCCCAACGTGCTGCTGATGGCCGAGTCCGTCGCCGACCAACGGCCGCAGTCGGAGCCGCACATCCAACGGACGCCAGACGTTCCACACGTCTGACCGTCGACAGTCCTCGTAGTCTTCTCCATATATAGCCTGCGACGGAGAAATAAAACACCAAATAAGCACCACGTCCGTCACTCACTCCTTCCCTCCATTCATCATCTTCCTCCTCCTCCTCCTCTCATTACTACGTTGTCAAACGCCCACGCGGGAGTTTCAGGGCAAATGTCACGACACTCTCGTAGGCGGAAACTTCAATGAAAGCAGACAGCATTTCCACACGAAAGGGACCGGGGCAAAACAAACTCAATTAGGTTTCCTTTAATGGAACGGAATGCAAATTTTTCGCAGAAACCTGATTTTCGCAGGCTTGTCTTATGCTCGCGCACGAATCTGATTTACCTCCAAAGCCTCTGCCTCCGAGTCCTGCTCGTCACGACACCCACAGTCCGTCATAGCACACGAGCACAGCCTTCATTGACTCACAATCACCCACTGACTGAAACAATAACAAATGACAAAGAAGAAAACCAAGGATCAACCATTTCTTAGCTCCTTTTTTTTTTGTGCAAAGGAAAAACAACAGGAAATGAATTTGAAAAGCCAGGGAGGGAAAAATCAACACCTTGTCTCTGTTTTTCCCCCTTTCGAGCTTGATTCCGGTTTGACAGCACTTCATCACATCAAATTTAAATCCCGCAACGAACGAACAACACAGCAACAATTAAATTCCGTCACGGAATTACGACTTGAGCAAGTTTTTTCTCTCTTTTTTTTTCTTTCTTTTCCTGCACACGAGCCGAGGCTTCAGTTTCGCTGCTAAATCACGCTACCTCACATTCATTTCAACATCAAGTGCATGAACTCGTGATGAAATCCATCAAATCAGCACCTCAAAAAAAAAAAAAAACAGAACAAAAATATGCAGAGATCAATTGTGGAATACAACTGTTTCAACAGGAAGAATCAATTCGGAAAGGAAAAAAAAAACTTGACACTTCGATGATGATTCGGAACCTTGCTCACACGACGACCAGCTGATTTTTTTAATGAAATTCTACGTCAATACTTCACAACAAAAAACACGAAGAGTTCAAGATTAAAAATGTATGTGAAGTTTCTCTCACTTTTTCTTACACATACTGTATTTCCCCATTAAATCATAAAAACCGCTAACATCGAAATTTGCTGAATCATTTAAATTTTTTTATAGAAAAAAACAAATCCTTTGCAAAACGGAAAACAACCAACACACACAGAATAAATCACGCTTTTGATCCTCGGTAATTTCCGTTTCTGAGTCGTTCGAGCAAATGTTTTTTTCTTTTCCCCCCTCAAGTGAGCAAGCAATTCAGGGTTGCCAGCGAGGAATGAAACCCCTGACGGACCTCCCGCCAGCTCCTCTCGTTCTCGACATCAACACACTCGCCGTCGCCGGTGATGTCGCCGTCGCCGTCGACGACATCTGGTGTCGTTGTTGCTGACAGTAGGCATTATACTGGGACATCATCATGGCGACTCCGTTCAACTGATTGTTGTAGGTCCACGGCCAATCCGGGAAATTCGGCTGCTGTTGCGACGACGATGAAGGCATCCTGAGAATTCGAAATTTCATACTTCCTCAAATTTGAGACGACGAAGAAAAGAAGGAGGGATACGCGGATATGTGCTTACAGAATTTGAAACTGAATAGATCATAATTTGCACGGATATCACCAAGTTTTCGAAAACGGCACGAATTTCATTAATTAATATTGCAGTAACTCACCTCTGAAGATACAATTTAAACGGGAAATGTGAGAGGGCAATTATTTCGTCTGAGCAAACTTTCATTTGCAAGGACAATAAAGTGAGCACATATCTAATGTTGACTCCTTCCAATGCAATGTATGATGCTCAAAGCGTTATTGACTTTCAGAAAATGTTGCACTTGTTGGTCTACATCAGAGAAGTTCATGAAATATTCAGAAGTCATACACGAAATTTCGCATTGAATTCATCACTGCTCTGTAGTTTCACATAATGAATTTCTCAAGGGATTCACATTTCGCATGACTTGTGGTATGAAGCGAAGTTATTATTCTTTCAGAAAATCACCGTTTGAGAAAATATGTCGACACATTCATGGCACACACAAAAAATCTGAAGCGTCAATTTTCTTCCCAAGTTATTTTTTATATATTCGTAGTCGACATTATGAGGGAATATAAGTTTCTCCAGAAATAATTTTCTCACCTTTGGATGACCTATGCAGTTATTTCACACAAAAAAGTTTCCGGAACTCGGAAACAAATTTATAATATACAAATGAAAAAAATTAAACTGGGATTCTCTGGAAATCAACCGCAAAAGCTGTTTCTCTTTGGATTAAAAGCTTATATATCTTTTAAATAGTTATTTCCACGAAGCAACTCTGTTTTTCCCGCAAAATACACGCGATGTCCGCTTCGTGAACAAATATTTCTTTCAAAAGCATACTTTCAGGGGCGTTAATGATGCGTTCACAACGTGCTTCACGTCAACGCGGTACTGCGAGAAATTTTTTCAACTTTTACCAGGTCATTTTACCAGCAAATAACCAATTTTGTTGGTTGAAAATTCAGAAAAGTTAGTGAGTGTTGATGGAAATTTTAAAAATAATCCCGAAAAATGCATTCAGGTTTTTGACTTGCTTATATAGTTGAACAACAATAACTCAAACCTCAAGTTGAATACCTTCCTAAAAATTTCAAATTTTTTTTCAAGTCCTTTCCTTAATTCCCTTTCAAAAAATGCACTAGAAATGTTCTTAACTCAAAGGCTTTCCCCTGAAACCTCCATAAAAAGATTTTTTCGAGGCATTTTGGCAAGAGAAATTAAAGAAAAATTGAAATTTTCGCATTTTGAATGGAATTAAAGACCAATTGTACAAAAAACCCCTGCCTCCAAGATTAACATCTTCACTCATTCAAAGAGCAATAAAGGCCCAGAATATCACCTATTACAATTTCCTGTAATTCTTCTCTGCATATTGATATTTATGTTGCAAAAATATCAACATTACTGTCATCCAGGACTCAAAAAATAACTCCTTCAGTAAAAAAAATAATAATTACCTACAACAAAATACGGACAAGTGCTTCTGGCGGAATAAAGACTTGTTTCTAGCTGAACCCACCAGAAAGAGGAGTAACAGGGAAAGAACAAGAGGACAACATCAAAATAATAAAAAAAGATGAACAAATGCATCTTCTTACGTTCGCATCGTCGGGCCGAGCGAAGAGACACACAAACACAAAACGTGCACGAGCAAATCATCCTCGAGTCGAGAACATCAACGTGGAACGGGAAGAGTAAGTCTGGGACGTCTTTTTTTTTTTTGCACATCGCAGAAAGAAAAAAAAAAGACCTTCACTTACTTATTGAACACAAAGTGAAGGGAAACAACTCGATGCCCGGTTACGATCGCCGCTTTGCCAACCAAACTCACACAGTCTCACACACACACACGCAGTATGAAACATCAACAAAAAATTGTTTACGCTCACGGCGCGTCCATTTTCTCCACGCAAAACCTTAGAACAAACACACACAAAAAAAAAAAAACAGAGAACACTCATTAGGCCTTTTTAAAAATAGCAAGTGACGGAAGTCGACTATACTAAGCCGAAGAAACAACACACCCAAAATCAACAAAAAATAGAAGAGAACAGCAGCAGGCTCGATGTTTATCCTCGTCTTAATTATTCTCGCACACGTCGTATACCTCTCTTTCTTTTCTCTCCCTCTTTTCCCAAGCAAGCAACAAACCAGCCAACAGCCATTCAAAAACATACTATAAACAGAATCTCCTTACGAAATTCGTTCACTTTTAACAATATGTCCACAAAATATTTCACGTGCCCTGACGGAAAATCCGAGAAAATAAAAAGAAAACCAGAAAATTGGCTTCAATTAGCATTCAGAAAAAAAAAAGTTCAAGAGTAACCAAGGGAAGACCAGAAAAACCATGCACCAGAAACACGCGGCGACGTTCAGAGCGAATTCCTTCAACCTCAAATCGACAAAGCGCGTGATCCGTGATATATAACATGGAATTCGACAACAACAACAAAAATCAAACGAGAAGAATGAAAATGATCTAAAAACGACGGAAAATCGTCACATCATCATCATCGTCGTCATATCCGCGATGAAAACAATTCAGCTGCGACTCAACGCCAAGTCATCCTAAAGCCATCAACGCGAGTGATAGTACCTGGTGGACGTTGGCTGCGTCGGAGGGAAATGTATTCTTGCCGTTGGTGCTTGTCCCGCGTACACCTGCAAACAATTAGATCATCACAGACAACAGAACCCACCATCGAATATATATATATTGATTTGATTAATAAGCAAGCTCAAGGAATTGTTTAGCCCAAAATACAAGATTTACGTTATAGAGTTCTTAAATTACGTGCCCAGAGAAAACCGCCGAGACACAAAAGGGCCTTCTTTCTTTCATGACATATCACAACAAAAATACGAACAACTCTGCTGAAAAAAAAAAAAAATTTGGAGGCTGCATAAAATTGCGGCCAAAATCCGTAAAAACCTCATCAATAATTACCAAAAGCCAATCGAGGTCAAAGCCTGTGCATTTTAAAATCAGCTTTGATATTTCTTAAATCAGAGTTGAATCTTGCGTTATAAATGGGTATTCTTGGTCAACAGTCAATTTTCAAACGACAAAAAAATCAACATAAGTATCATTATAATTCAAATATATCACTCACTGGTCTAGCAGCCATCGGTTGCTGAGGCGGCTGAAAGGAAGAAGACGACGACACTGCAGTCGACGGTCGGATGTTGTAGGCGGGCTTGGGTGAGGCCAAGTGCTGCATCTGCATCTGGCTCACGACCGGCATCGTGGCCGTCGGCCGCATGATCACCGACGTCGGCCCAGGCGACGAATACGGCACACGCACCGTTCCTCCTCCGCCGCCACCGCCACTCGGCGGCATCGGCGCTGCTGGCGGAGCTCTACGCATCATCACCTGCTGCTGCTGCTGCTGTTGATGTGATGGCGGCTGCTGTTGCACAACTCTGCTGCCTGGCAGCGACGCAGGCGCCACGGAAGGCGGCTGTTGGTGGTGATGATGCTGCTGCTGCGGCTGCTGGGGATGCGGATGATGATGTTGCTGATGCTGCTGTGGTGAAGGCGGTTGAACCGGGTACACACTAGTGACGGCGGCGTGTTTGCGTGACGCGGCCGCCATGTCGTAAGGCCCACTGCCGCTGCCACAGACTGGGTACGAGTATATCGCGCCGCCGTGCGAAATTCCGGATACCGCATTGCTTCGTGGCGCGACGCCCGACACCGACGACACTGGTGGGCCAGATGGGACCACAACAGCCGCAGAAGATGCCGAAGATGCCGACGAAATGTGCGGTGGCGCCTGCTGAGCAGGGTGGTAGTATGAACTCGTCGATGGCACGAACGCCGATCTGCCTGCTGTCTCAATCGATCCTGAAATGGAACAAAAATTTTGAAACGGCACGTGAATTTCTCATGAAAAGAAACAATTCAAAAGTTTTGGGTCCCACTTTCGTTCGCTCAAGAAACATATCTACGCAGAAAAATTTTCAGATTCTTTCCAACTCGACGCCAGGTGGGTAAAATAACTAACTTCAGTTACCTGACATCGATCTACGCCATTACTGATCAAACTTGACACTTTCGAAGAGCCCAAATGCAAATTCAACAACTAGGGTGAGTCAAAAACCTAACCTGACCACGATAACAAAGCAAAAAGTCCAAACTAACGCGTGCAATGAACGTATACTATGGTTCCTACTCATGATGAACATATACTGAGCTGATCTAAAAGTTAATTACGGCAATACAATTCATATCCAAACCTTCCAACACTTGATACAGTTGTTGACATGAATACAAACGCTCAATGGGGGCAGCTTTCACAGCGAAGTATCCAAGAATGAATACAGGTGGACTCTCTTCACAATGATCTACAATGTCTTTCTCAGTGGGTTATTTTTTATTTGGCATCATACGGTTCTCTCCCCATGATATATGGGTTCTCCGTAAAGAAATTACTTCTACCACAAATTTTCTCTGGTCCCTTGAATTTCTTCGCAGTGAGAGTGCACCTGTAATTTTTAGGTCGCAGAATTCTGGAAATCTTCAACAGGAGTTTGAGGTAGATAAGAAAATTGCTCACTTGGTGCGCCATAAATGGAAATCGGCGCAGCTGGTTTATAGTTGTAGGGCTGGTGCTGGACGGGTGCCGGTGGGATACTCTGCTTTGGCAAAGGAGCTGAAACTCGAGCGGGTGCCTTCACTATGGGTTGGGACACATAACCCGGGTTCACCATTGCATGAGGAGGACCTAAACTCAACAGGTTTTGCGGTTGTTGATGAGGCGCGGGGGCGGACGGCGACGGAGCTGGTGGAGATGGAGACGGGGCTGGGCGTTTCAGCGAGTTCACGTGCTGAATTGGAAGCATGGCAGAGTGGCCCGACTGCGACAAATTTTCCACTTTGTAAACGTTGTGTGGGATTTGATGCATGAATTGCGTGGGAATTTGCCCGGCGGCGGAAACAGACGTCAGTTGAAGTTCGCCAGTTCCGAGGTACGTGGGTTGGCCCAGAGGAATGTCCCTGTTATATGAACGCATTCCATCAATTTCCACGTGCACACGTTCATTCGAAAAACATACCTGCTTTGTTCCTTTTCCGACTGAAGGCGTCTTTGAGTCACTTCCTCGTTCAACACTTTCTTCAACTGCAGAAATAACTGATGCTTTTCTTCCTTCAATTCGGCAAGCCGCGATTCTTGGCGCAGAAGTTCGTCTTTTGTTTCTTCCAAAGACATGGCAGATTCCTTGCGCTGTATCTCACGCTCCTTCCTGCGACGTTCTTCCTCCGCATCGGCCTCTTGCTCTGCAGGGATTCGCGATATAAATTCCAATCACTTCAGAATAAAGGAATTTGAATAAATTCGAAAAAACTATAGGTACAATACCTTGCTTTTGCTTCTCGCGTTGTTTCATGATGTGGATCTTCAAGACTTCCCATCGAGTGCGAGAAATCTTTGACCGTTCCATTATGAAGCCAGGCATAATGGCGAAACCAACAATAGACTGCAATGAATGAAACACACACAGTACAATAACTAGCTTTTCCAAAACTGATCAGCAACGCATGTTGTCAACGCGACGCAACAGCACTTCCTCATCATCACACACCAATGAATCAAGGTGGACAGTCGAAGCGACGGAATACTGCTCTCATTTAATTGGCATCTCAGAACACATTTGTCTATCCACTTCAACAATGGTCAGTGTTTACGGGTGCATGACATAGTCGACAGCATCACATAAGACACTGAATCGTTCTGCCGAAACATATGATTGAAAAAGATGGATCCTGTTCAGAAGGGTTGATGGCGCGATCTTGATGGGGAATTTCGCGTATTTGGTCATCAATCCCACTCTCACAAAGTTTAAATGTGCTTTTTAGAGTGCTGATCGTAGCTTATTCAGTGGATCTTAGAACAGGCTCTTTGCTAAAAATGTCAACTCTGTGTTAAACGCACTCGGAATTTATGTCGCAAAGCCTCAAGGAACGCGACGCCGAGGAGGTCAATGGAGGCATTCATTTGTGTTTTCTTGCAATACAGTCGAAGCAAAGAGCAGAATTCATTCTGCCAGCAGATCCTTCTGCCAGTTCTCCCGAAGGCGCGGCTCAGCGCGGTTATCTGTATGCGTGCTCAAGGAATTAATGCAGTGCTTGTTCTCTCGCTTTTCTTTTCATTAAAGCAAAAATCGGACTGTGATTAGCATTCTAGTGACAATAAGAAATAGATTGTAGAAGGTTGCACAGCGTCGTTGCATCCGACAAAAGCGATTGTTCAGGTTTCGAATGCATTCGAAAGCAAATGCCGGCACTTCATCAACGATATTATAACTGATAACCCAAAATTTTCTGAAAACCCGCGGGTCATAGTTTTCCCTCGCTATGCATCAATATTTTAACAATACTTGAAGGATAAATGCAAGAATCTGAATTCGTGGAAATCCGGGGAGACTTGGCGTTATTGCTACATCTATATGCACGAACTGCCAGGAATTCCTATAATCCGTCCACGATTGTGCAACGATCTTCTTTATTTTCCCCCGCGCTAAAATCGCTATTCTGGTGACGTAATCGCGGGTAAGTGCGAAAAATATAATCCGTGGCTGGACACATCATTTGTTTTTTCGTGGCATTGTCAATGTTCATGCCGTGTGTGTTAATTATTTTTGCGTGGAATGTAAGAACGGTACAGTAAGGGTCGGCAAATTGTGACAACCCTGCTCGGGACCATGGTGGGCGGCAGTTCCCAAGGCCTCTTTTCATCTTTATCTCAGTGCCATCTTTGTGCCCCTTCCGTTCGTTGTCGCCGAAGGGTAAGGGGGAATATGCACAAATCGCGATCTCCAGTGAGACTCGTATTGGAATCAGTGCTTGTTACGTTGTGATGGTGCTGCGTACACGAGAGCTAGATGGCTGGTGAGGAAAATTGCGTTTCTTTAATTTTTGGTTCTGTGGGTTTTCAATATGTCATGGAAGCTTATTAAATGCAGTACTTGCTCATTAAACTGGCAGAATGGAAGTTTCTGATTTACAATACAGTAATGATTTCAGTTGTTTGATGTTACACAATGGGGCCCTGAGATTTAGACGTGATTGGTTCTTGGAAGACTTAATTTGTCTCTATGTTGGAATGTCCGCATGTTGGTTCACGTTTCCCTTTATTTAACTTCAATGGAAATATATTGCATTGGTTCTCTGATAGATTGAAAATTATGAAAAAGTGACTGAAGAAAGGGCAACGTTTTTGAGATCAATAAGTACATCACATTCGAGATTTTAACATGGATTGCACCCATATTGAATTGATTTTTCATTGTTTCCATTAAAAATTGCTCTTAGTTAATGAAAATATTCTCCAAGAATGAAGTATATGAGCGCCTGAACTTGATTGTTGCTCACATTTTGAACATTTTTTACTGTTTGCCAACTTATGATACACACCCTTGTTTTTCCCCCACTTAATTTTGGAAAGAAGTGTGTGTGTGTGTGCATGTTACTGGAGTAAATGCGTTATATAAAAAATTTTTGTTTCATTTTGGTGAATGAATTAAGCCTAATTTGTTCGGGGAAATAAAAATTTAAAAAGAAAGCCAATTTTTCTCGATACATGTTGGTCAAGCATCTTGAGGTCTGGGTGTCCGGGCATTTTTAGCTTTCAGCTGAAAATTTTATTTTCAACTTGAATACTGTAGTTTCATATCCTGAAGTTAAATCAACAGTATTTCGGGGGTCCCACTATATACAGTATTTCAATTGTACAGGGGCACACTTTCTTCCAATGCTGTAACTTTCCCATGACTCTCGAATGTTGTGCTTAGCCTAACTGGATCATCCTTCTCTCTTTTACGCATGGTTACTTAACTGGTTCATGCACAATGATTCCTCTGAGGTGGAGTTCTTCTATCGCAAAAAGAGGGATTAACGGATCAACTCCTCCGTTAAATCCTCTCGATGACTGTGCCCATGTGTTATTGGATACCATTTTTGTCTCTTCTGAAACTGCTCTTGGATCACAAAATCACTTTGGTAATCAAAATCTCCCAGCAAAATCTTAGAACCCCCCGAAAAGTCGCTCTGTATACAGCGTTATCAATAAGCAATGAACATGGTATGAAAGCTCACCATATTTTCAGCAGCAAGTAAAAATTACTCCCAGCAAAAATTAGTTGGCGTGGTTTATGTACTCAACTCAGCGTGACCATGGCTGTCACGGAATGTTCCTTTCTTGTAATTCAAGACCGACCTTGGGGAAACTGATCAACTACGGAGTCCGCTATAAGTCGTATGTATATCACACCTTGCATGATTTTCAGCATCTTGAATGAGTCAGCAGTGAAGATGTCACATTTCGTATTAAACAGTGAGAAATACTATACACGCCATGGATTAAAAAAAAAGTGTAGCAGCTAGCCATGAGGAAATATAGATGTGCAAAATTCGAAAGAGTAAAAATGAGTACGGAAAGCACGAAATGAAATTGCATGCGTCAAACAATTTTAAATGGTTATTATCGTGGGTCAGTGGATAAGTGTATTTTTCACATACAGTATTTCAGCTGTGGCTGCGTACAATGAGCTTCGTTGTGTACGTCATTTCTTCAGTCATTCGCGGGATTTTGTTAATTTCGCTGATCCGTCGGAGGGCTAAAAGCTAAGCTAAAATGGTCGAATCAGGAAGTCGTGATCGGTCTTCAATTTCCACGCGGAAGAGCTATGTATCGAAAGAATTTATTGTGCAATTCTTGGTTCCGCGGAACAATATGGTCCTTAAGAGATAATCCGTAGAAAAGTTCCTCCGCGGAAGTTGATGTTTGGTTCTTACGAGAAGGAAGCAGGTTATCGCGAACTGATTAAAAATGACGCGAAGGTGTGCACTTCTCAGGATGAAGAAAACTTGTCACGGAAGGAAAAACATGCATGGAGGAACTTGACGATAACCTGCTTCGACTCTCGGAGAATCTTTTTTAGATCCCTGTCATTCAAGAAATCTCAGTGGTTCTCTCTTTCTCTCGATCTCGGGAGATTTTAGCCTGGAGTTACTTATTGTGTGAGTTGGGAAATGTGGGGATCGCCGACGTGGAGGCCTGGTGTTCTGGAGGCCATCCAAGACCATCTCCCAGAGCATGAAAGACGTGCTTCGGTTCAGGTCCTTCCTCTTCGTTTTTTCACTTCCCCTGTCTGTGTTTTCGCGATCGAACCACGCACACGTATGACGCGAGGTGCACGGGGAACTGGATTTTCACTGAGTATGTGTGCAACCGAACCCGCGGAATGATGTGTAANCTGAAGTTTCTACAAGAAGGGATATTAGGTTTCTACTATAGCAGGGAGATTAGGTTTCTATACTAGCAGGAGGCCTGAAGTTTCTACCAGCAGGAGGCCTGAAGTTTCATGGTGATTGTGAACTTGCGTCATAACGCAGAGGAGAACAGAACTGTATATGGGAGTCTGGCCAGTGTTGCTGGAGAGATTCATTGTTCAATGTTCTGTTCATAGATGGCGAGAGTGTCAAAAGTCATGGCGGCGCGCATAGATTTTCTGGTGGGTCACCTCTCGTGTACAAGTGCCAGGAAAAACATGTATGGAGGAACTTGACGATAACCTGCTTCGACTCTCGGAGAATCTTTTTTAGATCCCTGTCATTCAAGAAATCTCAGTGGTTCTCTCTTTCTCTCGATCTCGGGAGATTTTAGCCTGGAGTTACTTATTGTGTGAGTTGGGAAATGTGGGGATCGCCGACGTGGAGGCCTGGTGTTCTGGAGGCCATCCAAGACCATCTCCCAGAGCATGAAAGACGTGCTTCGGTTCAGGTCCTTCCTCTTCGTTTTTTCACTTCCCCTGTCTGTGTTTTCGCGATCGAACCACGCACACGTATGACGCGAGGTGCACGGGGAACTGGATTTTCACTGAGTATGTGTGCAACCGAACCCGCGGAATGATGTGTAATAACAAACTGGGTCGGATGACGGGTATTTCTCAAGAACTCGTCAAAACGCCGGCCAACGTGCGCGCATTTCATTCTCCCCTTTCACGCATTATATATATTTTGTTCTTGCTTTTTCCAGCGTTCAGTGAATGTTGGCACCGAGAATCGAGTGATTTCCTTCTATTGTGTTCCACGCGTTGAGAAAAAAAAAGAGAAAGAGTGGGGAGTTGAAATCGGAACATGTTGCGAACTGCTGCGTCGCGGATCGCATCTGTCACTTCCTGCACTTCTGGAGAGAGCGAAACGGAAGAGAAAAATCCACTGAATACCAAGAATCATTCGATGGATGACACTTCAGCGGCTGCGGTGGACACTTCGCCCTTTACTGCTGAAAACTTGTGGATGTTGGGTCGCCGCGACAATTGGCCGCGCCTCAGGGAGATTATCCGGCCGCTGAGTAAGGAAAATGGCGCAGGGTTGCGGTGCACTCCAGCGTCACCTATTGGGGGACTATCATATTCAATTGAATACCTGCATGTATTGTAATGTACAGTACAGTTAATGCGAAAAAATAAACGTCATTGCTAAAATTGAAAGTAATTATCCGATGTGGGTAGGATGAGGCTTCATCAGGTGTGATTCATGCATTAGGAAATTGTACTTTCAAGTATATTTGTATGTTCGAGGTACTGAATGAAAGGTGCGCCTTGATATAGATGGCGTGTTTCATACAGTACAGTACTCGAGAGGGAATGATAGAGCTCTCTGTCACTGCTCCTAACGAAAGGTGCCCTGAGGGACAACAGCAAGGAGGAAGACGGGTTTTTTGTGACATCAGCGGCGAAGCAAGCTCTGATCGATGACCTTAGAATGCGAATGGACTCATCCAAGGACGCTGATACCGGCATGAACCTAGTTTACGAAACTGTACGGACTTTTTGTGTTTGATGAACCTCAACGAGAGAGAGTGTTGCTATATGGGTTTCCATTCTTTTGCGTGACTGTCGATGATGATCGACCGCCAGGTGTCGTTCAACGGCGGAGATGATGGAGAGTTGTTGAAGTTGATTTTGTCTATTGGGCTGGACCCTGATGTTGCCAAGAAGTACTCGTGGCGCCCTCTGCACGTGTGTGCTTCCTATGCCAGACCTGCTGCTGCTCAAGTGTTGCTTCTCTGCAGGCCAGACTTGGTGGCGAGGAATCATAGGGGCGACACCTCGCTGAGTGCTGCTCTCAAGGAATCTTATCCCGTGAGTGCTCGTTTTTTTTCAAGTGGACAATTCAGGCGACATCTGTACTGTACCTGGTTACAGAATGCTTCTGTATACAGTCGACACCAGTTCAACAAACGCTGTGGCGAAAAAAGGAAAGTCTGGTAGATTAATTGATCAGTCAGTAAGGTCCACTTTATTAATTATTTAATTTATTCTCAGCATCACATATTTCCCACACAGTGGATTGTTGGTTGACATACCCTTCAACAAACGTGTGTCCTCGTCAAGGAAAATTCCTTCAGTTAACAAACCAGAATTAAGTTAGCAAACTTTTCTTCCTGAGCAAAAATTCCTAATTTTATTGGTTACAAAACTCAACTGCAGGGTACAACCCAATTGCAGTTCAAATGGAAAAATCAAGCAGAAAAGTTATTTGGCAGACCAATTGTGTGCGCAAAATTTCTGAAGTTCTTTTTAACATGAAGTGAGTGTGCCATGGTTTGAGCAGAATCAATTTAACAAATGATATCCAGTTGTAAGAAACTATGGAAAAAGGCACATTCAAACATTTTTCTAGTTGTTTTCACTGTTTGACTTCCGATTTTTTTTTTAAATAATTCACAACATTGTGAAATTCACATTCCATTTTCTGATAACTAGTTATCCTATACTCATGTGTGAATGTTTTTCTGCATGTTAAGATTTTTGAGTGTGGTTTTCATTAATGTAGTCATATTTCCATCATCCAATCCTACAAAACACTGTGAACATACTTTTATACAGGATGCTACAGTAACTCATTCTGATCAGATATGTATCATGAATTTTTAAATGGAATTTTCAATTTATTTTCAAGTGCCAGGAACATATTAATTGGTTCTTCCTTGAAGTCTATGGTATAAGGAAAGTTGATTAACAAACTTTGGTCTGGAAACAATTGAGTTTGTTGACCATTGGTCCAATGTACAGTACTTGAGAGATTGAAGAACCCCTTTACTTGATTGATTGTTGATGACAGGAGGATTCAAGGAACCCTGAGAGAACAGAAGACCGTCCAAAAGTGGCCAGTGCCATAATGCGCTTTGTGTCTCGCGGATTCCCGAGTTTGGCACAATTGGCAGCAGAGCAGGAATGGTTTGCTGTGCTGAATCTCATGAGAAGACGGGTATTGTCTAAAAAGGAGTTCAAGGAAAAGTTTGATGGCAAGACTGTTGCTGAATGGGCGCTAACTTTTGATAAGCCCAAACTTGCTGCAGAAATTGCTTACTATGTGAGTAAAACTCCTTAAAGTAATTATTTTTTTCAATTTGAATTTTCTGACTTCTGTGTGTGTGTGTGTGTGTATGTACTGTTGAATATCTTCAAGTCCAATTCCCAAAAAAAATTCAGTTTGGGAAACAATCATTTTTGTTTGGAGGGAAAAAATGAAGAATTACTGGAAATTGTAATTGGTGATATTCTGTGCCTTAAATTGCTTCTTACATGAGTTAACAGAGGGTTGAATGTACCAGCAAGGATTAATTTTCCTCAAGAGTCTGTAACTTCCTTTTAAAATGGATAAAGTTGTATATTTTTCAACTATTTTCTCTCCTGTGTCAATAAATTAACAGCTGAAATAAGGCTGACAGGAAATTCAATTTTTGAAAGTTTGAAGAAGTAAGCCTTTGAGTTAGGGAGGTTTTTAATGCATTTTTTCTAAGGGAATGCCAAGAAGGATTGGAAACAATTTTTATGTAGGGAGGTTTGATTTTTCAAGTTTCTACTGTATATATTAAAAATAAGCGCAAAAATTCCTGGAATACAGTGGCCCCCCGCCTAACAGACCTCCTGTGTAAGGTATTTTTGCCAAACAGACCAGCTCTGCAAGCAGTTTTTCCTCCCGCCCAACAGACAAAATCCGCCAAACAGACTTCTTTTGGTTTAAAATTAGTGTTGAATATTGAAATTTTTAATTTTTTATGTAATTGAATTCGTGTAAAGGACTTTTTGTCTAACAGACTTGTCCCTTGCACAAATCAAGTCCGTTAGACGGGGGTTGACTGTATGTGTGCAATAATTTTTTTATTCAATTTTGAATGTGTTAAAAAATTAGTTGGGGTCAGGAAAAAGCAGTTTTAAATTGCATTGTTTATCAAACTTGCATCCAATTAATTTTTTCAGAAAAAGTTGGCTTCATTTGAGCAGAAGCAGAAACGCAACAGTGTGATTGACAGATTCAGAAGCAGTCTGAAATTGTCTGGTATCAGAAACAACAGTTCTTCAGATGTGACTGAATCAGGTGATCAACAGCAGCAGCAACAGTCTCCTCCTCTTCATCATCAGGATGCTGCTGGAGGAGCATCTTCATCATCATCAATGAATCAGTCTTGTAGGTTGTCTGACTCTGGCATTTCAAACGGAAGTGAAAGTCCGCCGGATGTTGAACAAGATTAGTTTGGACATGGACAAGGACTTGAAAATTTTACCCGGACTCGGAAGTGTATTTATTTTCTATGTGACTGGATTTTTTTTTTCTCTCGAGGACTGTGTATTCTATAGGTTGCACTGTAGCGCCATTTCATTTTCTTCCCCCCTTTTTTTTTGGTTTATTTTTTTTGTNCGCCCTCTGCACGTGTGTGCTTCCTATGCCAGACCTGCTGCTGCTCAAGTGTTGCTTCTCTGCAGGCCAGACTTGGTGGCGAGGAATCATAGGGGCGACACCTCGCTGAGTGCTGCTCTCAAGGAATCTTATCCCGTGAGTGTTTTCCTTTTTTTTCAAGTGGACAATTTGGGCGACATCTGTACTGTACCTGGTTACAGAACAGAATGCTTCTGTATACAGTGGACACCAGTTCAACAAACCCTCTGGCGAAAAAGGAAAGTCTGGTAGATTAATTGATCTGTCAGTAAGGTCCACTTTATTAATTATTTAATTTATTCTCAGCATCACATATTTCCCACACAGTGGGTTATTGGTTGACATACCCTTCAACAAAGGTTTATCCTCATCAAGGAAAAATCCCTCAGTTAACAAACCAGAATTAAGTTAGCAAACTTTTGTCCCTGGGCAAAAATTCCGAATTTATTGGTTACAAAACTCAACTGCAGGGTACAACCCAATTGCAGTTCAAATGGAAAAATCAAGCAGAAAAGTTATTTGGCAGACTAATTGTGTGCGCAAAATTTCTGAAGTTCTTTTTAACATTAAGTGAGTGTGCCATGGTTTGAGCAGAATCAATTTAACAAATGATATCCAGTTGTAAGAAGCTATGGAAAAAGGCACATTCAAACATATTTTTCTAGTTGTTTTCACTGTTTGACTTGTTTTTTTTTTTTAATAATTTACAGCATTGTGAAATTCACATTCCATTTTCTGATAACAGTTATCCTATACTCATGTGTGAATGTTTTTCTGCATGTTAAGATTTTTGAGTGTGGTTTTCATTAATGTGGTCATATTTCCATCATCCAATCCTACAAAACACTGTGAACATACTTTTATACAGGATGCTACAGTAACTCATTCTGATCAGATATGTATCATGAATTTTCAAGTGCCAGGAACATATTAATTTCATTGAAGTCTATGGGATAAGGAAAGTTGATTAACAAACTTTGGTCTGGAAACAATTGAGTTTGTTGACCATTGGTCCAATGTACAGTACTTGAGAGATTGAAGAACCCCTTTACTTGATTGATTGTTGATGACAGGAGGATT